AACTCAACCATTGTTCCATTCTACCCACAGGAAAATTTAGGGCAACTTCTCAATAAACAGAAGAAAAAATATTGCACTCTGAAATTACAAAGCAAACTTTACAGCTGGAAAGTGCTACCCTGAAAGATGCGTTCATGCTCCCCACGAATAACGTGCATAACTGCAAACCTCCATGTGCTGCCATGGTGCTTTTGGCAGAAGAGTTTTACATTTTTTTAAAGCCAGCAGTTCAGCAACATGTTAGTGGAAAGCTAGGGAGAGGGGTTCCTCAGTACAGTCATAATTCAAATCCTGCATAAATCCTGCTACAAATTTAATCAATAATAGATAAAAGCTTGTTAACTGAAACAAAGAACCAAAACAGCTGTAAATTCAGACAAAACCCAGGAATTTGTATTTCTTCTTCATAGCAGCTAACGAAAAACAGGGCCTTAACTTGGCTAATACACGCTGTCTTCAGGCTGTCTTTTACAAAGAAAAACTGTTTCCAGTTTTTTGCATGTTGAAGAGTATTAAGAAGATGGTGTCAATGTCACTGGACCCAGTAGGAGAATGATGATTTCTGTGAGGTTTGCAAACCCAGCACAGGTGGTCTGCTTCACCTCCTCGAAACTAAAAAAGGAAGAAAACACCAATTGATTGCCTGAAATGGCTTCACCAAAGATATAATGCAGTCACAAATCAAAACCAGAGGAAACAACTCTCTCAATTAGCACTGTTGATCTTCAGGCATTTTGTATTCATTCCCCTTTTCCTGCCTAAACCCAATAAACCAACTATTCTTTGACACACGCATACACAGACATCCCCCTTGTAAAAAGTGGCGGAGGTGGAGGCTGTTCTTCACTTATAAAACTTAATAGCATTGTTATTGCTGAAACAACAAAAGTGTTCACGTTTCATTGTTGGCAGTGACTAGTGGTAATTTAGCAATTGTTTATCCAAAGTAGTCGCACTCAGTTAAAAACATAATCTTTTTAAATGGATTTTTTTTTAAAACTCTGATCCTTAAGTTAGGCCAGACAGAAAAAAAAAAATAAAGCAAACTCACAGAGGAGAACTGGGAAAAAATGATATAAAATGCAATTTAAAAGTAGGGTTTCAGGAACAGATGTTTCCAGTAACACAGAGGTTTCTACCGAGTGTGATTCCCTACAACAAGCAAAGCCTGCAGAGACAACACGTGTTACTGTTGAGCACGATTCTACATTGCTGCCCTAAATGACTCCCCCCTGGTTGCTACAAACTGAGTCCAAAAGCCCTGTGATGCGGTCAGCCCCTGTAGCCCATACCCCAACCTGATAGGAAAGACCATCTAGCAACAAAGAACTTAAGCTCTTCCTTTTCATTTGGTCCCAAGTGTAATCAGTGCAATCGATAGGTTAAGCAGGAAAGCGTAACTTTGATATAATTACAGTTTCACATAAAAGTTCGTTAGCTTTGCCTACAGTTTCTCAGCATACCCAGTGGATGCTGAGGAAATTGTGCTTGATTGGTATCACTGCAGAACCTGGATGATGGGGGACAAAGCTGTTTCAGGCAGATATAATTCCACACAGCAGCTTGGTATTCCTTCTGAGACCAAGCCAAACTGTTTCAGTATTCACGACATGTCCACATGTCTCTGCTGCCCTCGACAGCGACAGCCCCTGGATTTCAACCCCAATCTGGGGCTATCCAGTTAAAACAGTGTCCACGCCTCACATACTGCTGCCATGAAACATAGACAACTGTGGTTTTCCGTTTGTTTTTATCATTGCTTGTCAAAGATTGAAAAATGAAGTATCTGTTTGGGAAATGTGGACGAGTAGGATTTACTAGCCTGTATGTATGCGCATGAAAACATATAGATACACCGAGAGGCAGGGAACACAGAACTGTCCTGTTCTCTCAGACAGAATTCGGATTGAAGCAGATACAAACAGGATGTTATTTGCACATGCCAGAGTCTGTTTAGACACCCTGGAAAAGGAGGCAAGATTTCTCAGAGGAAGATAAGCAATATGGCTTGAAAAAATCAAGCCCTTCCATAATATCTCTGAGTAAGCATGTGAAATCCCCAAGTACTTCAGAGACTGTAAACCTAATTGCTTCTCACAGTGGGTGAGTGGGAAGAAGGGACAGAGCTAGGCCTTTAATAACAAGATCAGTTTAAATTCCTTCATTACAGGCTCCCTGATATCTGCCATTGGACAAGAACAAGCCCCTGAGTACACTTCTATTGGAGCGCAGCAGCCAGCTCCTGCAGAACCGCCCCAGGCTGCCTGGGATAATTGCAATTCCTGCTCTTTAAATGAGTTAAACTATTTTAAAGGTCAAGCTGAAGGTACAGATGACCTCCTAACAAGAAGATGTTAACATTTTTAAGACTATGATGGAAGAGAAATAAACCTTCACTAATGAGATAGAAAAGTACCGGCACCCTCCTCGCTCAGAAAGGACTGTCATTTGGGTGACATATCACTTGAAAATTGCTTCATATAAAACGGTCATATCTGCATCTTTTAATGCTGCCATTCTTTTGAAACAACTCCACTGCTAGAGAACATGAGTGCCATAATGTGATTTATATAGCTAATATCCTACTTCATTTGAATTTTGAGGTTTTTAACTATTCAAAGAACACTAGCCTGTTTTAAAAAAAAGGAAAATAGTTCAGCAAGAAGAGCAGTTATGAAAGCCTCAGCTATCCATCAAAAATATTACCAAAAACAACCTCTTTGCCTTTGAGAGCTTTTCTAGAGAAGAAAGGAGGCTTCACAGAAGTAAAAAAACAATAACACAAAAACAATAATTGTAGCAAGGGGCTAACAAGCTGATGACACATGCAAAAATGATGATTTCTATGATCCTATGGTGTCCCTTCCTGTCAGCACCCACAGAATTGGGCCAATGCTTTGCCACAGCCTCGACATCTATTTAAATGTCCCCCTCTTGCCCCAGGGACACTCCACAGGGATGGGCTATTGGGAGCTTCCCACCTCCGTGCTCTCCCCAGGCACTAAGCCAGCCTGATTTCCACTCATGCAAACACAGCTTCCGTTTGCCACCCTCAGCACTTCAATCTTCTTTCCAGCTACTTCCAAAGCACACTTGTCCATGGTCCATTTCAGCATATAACTTGTCTCCGACATCAACCTTTCCGATTCACACGCTTCCAAATATCCTTCAGAAAACACTGTCCAAAAATACAGCAAGCAGGTGATAGACCCTCAACCCCATCACAACTCGAGGCAAGACATATTGCATTGCAAGACTTAAATTTATGCTCACGAGTCAAAGCTACACATGAACCAAACAAAACTTTCTGCTTTTTTAACTCAGCAGCATATTTTTTCAGTGCATGCATCCAAATGGAAAAAGAACAGTAAAAGTTTGAGAGTAATCATAATTGAAAGAGTAGCACTGTACGCTCCATATATCATTACCTTATTAGTATGGGGACTCTGTAAGTTGGCTCATGCTTGAAATCAATAGAATAATTTTACATTTCCAAATGAACCGCATGATGAATTGAACAAAGAAAAAACAATTACTCCACTCTTTACAGTCCTGTGGGATCTCTTATTTATCCAGCTTGCTTGATTGCTTTGAGAAGCAGCAAATGGTTCTTAAGAACCAAGTTTATGTCCAACACACTTTTACAAGCTGCCTTTTAACAAAATGGCCCACCAATGGCTCGCAAAATGAAGTAGCACAGCACTTTAAAAATGACAGCATCATATTGTTTTGTCCAGTTTTTTGTTTGTTTTTAAAGAACAAACAGGACTACACACTCGTTTCCGTAAGTTAATACTTCTGTGTAGTTTGTTGAAATGCAGCTTGCTTAAAATGTTATTAAGTCAAACAATGGGATGTTATTGCAGCAAGCGTTCTCCATGCAGTCATCTAACAACGGAAAGGACAACTGGCAAAACTCCTGGTAGGGCAGACCTCATCTGGCCTTTATGAATATGAACAGAAGCATAATTCAGAGAGCATCTAACCTATAAATTATAACCACATTGCAATGACTTGCAGTGCCACATTTTTAATTTAACATAAACAAATTAATAACTGTGCTTAACTTAAGATTCTTATTTTGTGACTGCTTGGGTGCCTTAAAGAAAGTTCCAATTGACTTTTTCTGCAGTTGGGATGCGTAGAAAATCTTTTCTGCATAGAAAGATTCTTTTCCCTGGTTCATGTTGTGGCTCTTTGCTGGTCTTTGAAGACCTTACCACCCTTGAGTGGGTTTGAAATGGTCAAGTTTACTGAGTAAAGGGAACAGGGAGGCAGCACGACTGTTTAAGCCCCACTTACTTAGAAGGTATAAGGAAAATAAAATGATGTCAGGTAGAAATTAATACAAGAAGCTAAGAAAAAAATGTCAGTTGTGAAAGTCTGCTCCAACAGAGCTCCTGTACCCTGTGCCTTACAGAAAGTCAGAGAGCTGTGACTCAACCTGTTGCAGTTACTTCTGCCAGAGACTTTTCCTGCTCCTTCCATTCCCCAGGTTGGGAAGTGTGAACCAGGCAGAGGATCTGCCACCTCAGTTCACAGATCCAAGTGGGAATTTAAACACTCATCATTTCTCAATTATGTTAAGCATCTTTCAGGGATGGAGGATAATACTGCAGCTGGGCAGACAATTAGCAGGACATTGTCAACACTTTTTGTTTAGCCCTTTATTGTTTTTTAATCAGTTAATTTTTGAGACCGCAGCTTGAATTGTTTTGTCTTGCCTCTAGCTCAAAAAGCATTTGGAAAATAAACATGCAATTTATAATTTCAATAAATGTATTCACTGTGAGATGGAGCCTCACTTGCTATTTCAAGATAATAAACTGACCTTGTGCACGCAAATCTCTCAACTGCAGTAGTTACAACAGCAAGCTTGTTAGATACGGAACAGAAGAAAGAAAAATTACTATAAATAGACTTTCACAAGGATTGAGCAAAGTTTTCCAGCCCTCTTCTACTTTTCTCAGATATTAATTGTAACCCAACTCGAGACTTACACCTATTGAAGAAACTGCTGTGTCTGCATTGCTCCACTGTCACGCTCCGGGGGCTGGAGATGGAACAGCGCGTCTGCAGAGCCCAGGCCAGGCTGGAATAGGAACAGCAGCTCCCTTCCCTTGGCACAGAAGTAAACCCTGAGGATGAAGACATGGAGGTGTCAGGATACAGAGTATTTTCATTTTGAAAATAATATTCCCCTCAAATACACAGAAGAGGAAAAAAAAAAAATTTACTCATATGGTTTAATTTCTAAAGGGAAATAGATTTACACCTTCTGTCTTGAAGTTCAAAGCAAGTTGCAGTAGCAGGAAACAACATTGCAATAGAAAATGGCACAAACAGAACAAGCCAGAAGGCTTCTAACGTATTGCTGATAGAGTGAGAAACCACCCTCTAAAAGGAGAAATATTCTCCTAGCAGCAAAACATGCAATAATACTCCTGCACTCAATCATCAGGGATAAATAACCACATCACAAAATATTCTATGTGCTATGAAATCCAGATCTGAAATCAGCCTACAGAAGAGCGTAACATCTTTGCCTAAATAATTACAGGTTATTTTTTTTCCTCATTTAAGACTTGCAGATATGCTACTAGCCAACAGGAACATATTACAAGCAGGGCTTACCTACACCAATGAAAGCAAGATACTTTCATTTATTGCCTGGCACAGAGTGTTTTTTCATTAGAAATGAGAACAGAGTTATCCCCAATCAGTATTTTTACCACCTACATAATAATCAATCCAAACAGCACATGCACTCAAGAATCTAAAAAAGGCTATATGCACTCTCTCAGTCTTGAAAGTAACTATTCCCCTTGTTATTTAGAAATTGCATTGTAAATATATAAAAAAATCCACTTCTTTAAATGTGGATTCTTTAAATCTACATTTAAATTCAATCTTTTCAAGTAGACTTTAAATGCAAAATATATGTATGACTTCTGTCCTGTTCTGTTAACATCTATCATCAATAAAATAACAGGCCACTTTTTTGAAGTTAGAACAGTACCTTCTCCTAGGCAAATAACAAGTAATTTATTTAACTGGGGTAACAAAGCAGGAAATTCTAAAAATTTCTCTCAAAGCAATGGTTATAATAATGTTTATAAGGCTAATTTGTCTTCTTTCATTCCTATCAAAAAGGTAAAGCAGATAATAAAACTCCATTATAAAAAAATTGGGGGAAAATCATAAAATTTCATGAAAGAAAGAACAGCCTGAAAACAAATACACCAAAATAAGAAGAAAAACATTCTTAAGTGTCTGGTTAAATTCAAAGAGAATAGAGAAGAAATTATTTAGAGTTGTAGCATTTAACACCCACAAACAATATACCAGTCACCATTCAAATGCCTCCTTTTATTTCGAAACTCCTACTGAATTAGCAGTCACCCTAATATAGAACTTTGTGTAGGGTACATAGATAATGTTAACCCTAAACCTACAAGCCCACAAGTCTTGAGCTACTCTGTGTTCTTAATATGCTTTTAATGACAAGTTACGAATATACAAGATTAAACAAAGAGTTAAGCTGAGAACAATTTTTATAAAAATTACAACAGATCTGCCCTTTTTTTGGAATCACGCGTGCAATTAGAGAAGCATTTTTTCTCATCAATTATCTGCAAAGTAATTTAAATTTGCATTGTGTGGCAGCATTTCTAATTTCTCTTGCTACATCCTTTAATTGCCTACAGCTGAAAATTACTTCAAAACAACTCGCAACATGGCACTTTCTGCTTCCCCCAGTTATGAATTTCCATACCTGGAAGACGACCACAAAAAGCGTGATTATTTTCTCCCCACTGTTACATTTCCCACGCTTCCTGCAGGCCTGTGCATGATCTGTGCACATATGGGAGCACGTCTACCAGTTTTATAAACACCAAGGCTTAATACATCTGGTTCTTAACATTCTTTTTCCTAGAAAAATGACCTCGTTTAGGAATTTTAAGAATAGATGTATTGGTTCAGGCTAATGGCACATCTAGTTCCCTATTCTGTCTCCAACAACCAGTTGCAAGAGCTGCTTGGGGAAGAGGGCAAGCAGCAAAGACGCATGATGCCTTCCCTAGCATTTCCCAGTCCCTCGTTATTTCAGTTCAGAAAAGAAGGCTTCTTATCTTGGAAAAGAGCTTCTGGAAGAACCGTGAGACCCGTCCTGGCCTGCTCAGCTGCTGCCACGCTGCATCTGGTGACCCTTCTCACCGTTCTATCAGCCTCCTCCAGTTTTAATGTAGCTTGTTGGATATTAAGGCATTCTTCAGCACTTTATCTATACTGTAATTCACACAAAACTTCATTGCCGACCCACTCAATCTTCTTAAGGTCCGTCAGCAACTCTCCACGATCAGCCTTTCCCTTATGCTTCAAATAACTTATCACCTGCAGCAAAATGAGTTATCTTGCTGCTCAACTCCTCTCTTGGAGGGTTTATGAGCATAAAACCTTTACTCCATCAAAAGAGCTCTGACCGTCTTTCCTGCCCTTCAGTCAATAATTTACCCATCCTAGGACCTCCTGTCTGATAAACTTTTTTCTCTCTGCAAAAACCTGCTTTGAAATCCTGCAGAGTGCAGCAGCTGGATCACCCTCAGCATCACGAATCTCTTAGGAGAAAGAACAACAAAAACACACAAGCTCTAACATATTTGTAAGGAAGAACTTTCCTTTACTGAAGGCATGCATAGTCTTCTTTACCCTCATCTCTTCCAGAAGCTTTTATTTTAAATTGGCAGCTACCAAAGAAGTTACAAACTACTATGAGTAATTCAGCTTTTTCATCCTTGCTCTTAGAATTAGCATGTGAACAGTGTCTGATCCCGGAGGTCTGCTAAAGTTCATGCTGTGTATTTGTTCCATAATCTCACACACAGTTACTTAATTTCACACAAAAATCCTCTAGCTCCCTGCCACGATCACCACAAAGGGCACCATGTGGAAAGCTCCCAGTTTCATCTTCTTTTCTCTATGATGCAAAGAATTAATCTAGCTTTTCTGCCCTGCCATCTCCGAGTGCTCCTCTTACACCCTGCTTGTCTCCAGATATTTCATATTTAGTTACCTACTGGAGAAACACTTTAATATTAGCTAAAATTGCACAAAGGGCTGGTCAACATGAAGCTTATCATGAGGAACAAGCTAGTGGTCTGAGCCAGATCCAGAGGCACACTGAACATTGTTGGAGAAAGTCTTCACCTGGTTTGCATGGGTTATTAACACTACTTGCAGCCAAGTTGTTAAATCCTTTCACAGTCCTGTACTACAAAACCACATTCTAAAGCCTCTGCCTAAGAAAAACGACATTCGCTTGAAAAACAAAATGTAGGAGTATGGGACAGTTTAGTTCATTATCAAGAGTGTTTGCAATGCAACTTGCCTTTTTGGGGTTGGTTTATTCCTATGTTCACTACAAAGTAAATAAATAAATAAAATTGCACATCGTAGATACCGATCCAGCTTCTTCTGGAACTACAGTGTGAATATGAAGAAATGGTCTATTTGGAGGCAATAAAATCTGCAGAAAATGACAACACTAAGAAGAATCAAGAGGCAATAGAATTGGATGAGCAATTCCTACAAGAAAAAGGATTTTGATAGAATAGCTGGGGCACAGAACAGGAGAAAAACTCAAATGTCAAAAAAAGAGAAACGAAATAAATACTGGTGTTGCATAAAAACAGGTCAGAAGACCTCCAAGAAGTTTCAAGAAGTCTCCTGACCCAATGCCATGTTAAAACAGACTACAAAACCAGAGTATCGAAATTCATAACAAGCTGCTAAAGATCTTGGGCGAGATCTTGCTTTCAATGAAAATTATGACAAATCTCCTATTAACATTTTCTATACAGATTTAATCACTTTTAAATAGAGTGTTGCCAGAAAAGCAATTTATATTTTTAAGACTTGTAGCTAGAGAATACCAGCTGTGAGCATGGAAATCAAATTTACATGTGCAGGGAAGCCCAGGGGCTGTGATGACCATATGACACTGGGAGAAGGGACAGTTTTGGTCTCTGAAAAGGACAAAAGGTGGAGGAGGAAGATGCACCAGGAGAACACGATTCCCAAAGCCTGAAACACCAAGTGTTGGCATTTAATAGTGTACCCACACACTGCTATGCACATACTGCTGCCAAGGGAATAGACACCGTGAAGGCAAAGAATAAAAATATTTATGGAAGGTAAACAGTTTGAAATGCCATATCTCAGTAAAACAGCACTGTGACATGTGAGTATGTTTCAGTTAATGCATCGGATCCTCTATTTCCTATAATTCTTCCAAACACTACCACCCATGACAAGTTTTGAATTGAAAATCTAGCATCTTCCCCACCGAAAGCCACTCAAAACTGAATTAGTACTAAAGATACCTGTAAGAGCAAGGCAGGTCACGAGCGCAGGATTCATTTCTTGCCACCAGCAAAAGACAAGTCAACAGAGCAGAAAAAAAGCACCTGCTTGCTATAAAAAGGTCCTGCTTTGCACTAAAGGAAAATTAACTCCTCAGTGCACACTTATTTCCTGGCTATAAACATTACAGCAACTAAAATCTTGCATGGATTTTAAGTGTCAGGCTTCACTGGTTACAAATTGGTTCTTCTAAGTTTTCTAAAACTCCCTCTATCTCGCAATGCAAGACAACTGTTTGGCTGCACCATTTCATTATAATGTTCCTAAAATTTTCTTCAGTTAAATGTTGGTTTAACTCAGCCCCATTAGGAGATCTAGGTGCAGCACCTGGCACCACAACCATGCCCCAAATGAGCACTCATTACAATTGCTTTCTCCAGCATCTAGCATCTTGAAAGACAACGAACACGCAGAGCATCCATGTATTTACTTCACCGGTGAATGATCAAACTTCAGCAAGATTGGTTCACAATTATTTAAAACAAAAAATACAACTGGCAGCAATGTAATAATACCCTTAAACCTGTAATTATTTTCAACAGAAATTAAATACAGAAAAATATTCTTAGCCAGTTCTGTACTTGAGAGAAAGAAATGCTGCATGAAGTTGGTTTCAGCAGTGGGAACTGCATCGTGAAAAAAACTCTTAAAAAAAAAAAGGCTTCAAGAAGTGTATTGTGTGGTTATAATTAGAGCTTAGGAAAAAATTGCCTGG